TTCATCGACCGACATCCCCAAGTCCTTCTCCCGCAACTGCTCTCTGCAGTCCTGCAGATAACTAGCAGAACCCCTACAGACAGTACAAACATGGTTCAAATGCTTACAGTTAAGGTGTTTGGAAGGCAGTATCCTGACCACCTGAGGAAATACCACTTTGCCAGATACAGATTCATATAACTAGAACAAATTTTCTTCACTCAGGATTGTTATACAATGTCTTCCACAAGTTTAATCAAACTCCATCTTGAAATTAATTAATAGGTTGAAGAATAATTAATCCTTTGAATTAACTCATCTTTCCATAGTGAAAGTCAGATGCACTAAACTAAAATATTTCAAGGTGAAGACATAATTATCCTACAAAGATAACTGACAATATTGACTTTTTAATCTATTGGAGAGTTCAGAGGATCAAAATTTCCTTTTTAAGAAGTCCCTTACTGCTTTAGACTTTCCTCTACAAATTAAGACAGTAAAATCTACATTTGAGAGATTTTTTTTTTCCAGGAAAAAGTTACCCACTCTCTTAGATTCTCCCACGTAAAATTTGGCCTTTTCTATTAACTAGTGACACTTCTTTCTGGGCTCAAAACAGTGATAAATCCTTCAAGCAACACTAACCGAAATATTATTGGTAGAGATCAATGTTCACTGGAGAGAAGATAATACCACTAAACCACAGCTATTGCTGTCAACCTAAAAAAAACCACAAAAAACAACAAACCACTTCAAAAACAAAAATCCAACAAAACAACCACGAAGAAAGGCAAGTGTGATTTTCATTACAGAAATGCTCTTATAGTCATTGCAAACAAAGCAATTTAGAAAGTGAATGGCCATTAACTAAGCTGCTGGACACATACCATCTAGTACCAGTTACAATGACCAGAGGTGGTCCAAACTCACTAGAGATGAAGTAGTGACTCCAAAACAAGTGTAAAAAGCAGACAACTGTGCAAGACTCATTGTACTCTGCCAGGTGCTTCAATGAAATTTCAGAGTTGTGTCAAAATGCTGAAGACACGAAAAAAAAAGCAGTCTGTTTTTTGACCATTGTGACTGGGTAACAAGTAGCACAAATTAAATGTTAGGAAGGAGAAGATCCCTCCACCCTCCTTAACTTTTCCTTTCATGGTGATGTAGTTAAAACCAATGCATACAAGCTGTAGTTAAGGAAGCACATCTACGATCAGTCAAGGATATGATTAAAAATTAATGAGTCTACAGAGAACACTATCCTTTGCTTATCTAGTACTTTTTAATAAGCTACTTAACTACATCTACTTGTGGATAGATTGTCTTTCTCAGTACTTGTTTCCCAATAGTGTTGGTTTCCCATTTTATTCCCTCTGCATCTTCTATTTATTGTATCCAGCTGTGGAAGCTCATTCCAAGTTCTTGACAATAATGATATTTTCCAATGGTTTTTAATGATGTCTGCTATAATGGGACCCTATCCCAACTGTACCACATTTGTCTTTACAATAACATAAATGACTTACAGCTTTTTCAGGTAACATATCATTTTTACCTTCTTAATTTTTTATATTATGACAAAAGCAAAGAGGTACTTTATCTTTCTGACTACAAAGCCTAACAGAACAAAAATGACCAAGTTAACAGAAATAACATATGGAAGTAGGATATGAATTTCATTCAATTCCTTGGTCCAGAGACGGGCAATGAGGATGATCAGAGGACTGGAAGACCTGCTGTATGAAGAAAGGCTGAGAAAACTGGGCCTGTTCAGGCTTGGGAGGGACCTTATTACCATGTACCAGTATATAAAGGGTGGCTACCAAGAAGATGGAGACTCCCTTTTCACAAGGAGTCACATGGAAAAGATGAGGGGTAATGGACACAAGTTGCTTCTGGGGACATTCTGACTGAACTCCAGAAGAAATCTTTTACCATGAGATCAATCAGGCATTGGAACAATCTCCCAGGGGAAGTGGTAAATTCCCCTACACTGGTCAGTTTTAAAAGTCAGCTTGACAGGGTGCTGACTCATCTCGTTTACACTATGCTTTTACCTTGAGAGGTTGGACTAGATGATCCTTGTGGTCCCTTCCAACCTGGTATTCTATGATGATTCAATTCATTGAAACAGCATTTACCTATCAATGACTATGCAGCTGCTTAGCTTCTTCTGAAGTGAGTTACAGTACCTTAGGCCATTTCTATGGAAAACTTCTAGAATAGAAGTGTTAGAGGGAATTTCAGGTGGTTGTTGCTTTTACCTGGAGATTGGCTGTGCAATAAGATCAGCACTCTTCAACTTATCAGGTAAATGGGGGCTTTCCCATGCATTTTATCAAGCATAGCCAGCTTTTTGTCTCTTTGAGCCAGTACTGCTAAGTGTAACTCAAATTCCTATACTTGATTCAATGCTTTTTGACCTCATTTTCAGTTGACAGTACAGGAGCATTTCATTAAAGAAAGAAGAATGTTTTCAAGTCTAACTATGGCAGTTGTTTATGTCACAAGCTTCCCTTAGGATAATTTCTTGTTTGCTACTGTTTGCATCAAGCGGACACAAACACTGTGCAAGAATATGATCCCTGAATTATACTCTTTATAGCAAGCTGCTGTCAAAAGAAAGATGTCCTGTGAAAGGTATAATGGTGCACACAAAACTTCAATAGAAATACAAGACATTTTAAGAAAGAATTAAAAAAATAAAGTCAAAGAAATACTAATTCATAAGATGAAACCCCTGAATTTTCAAGTAATTAATATATTAATTATGATTAGAAATTTTAAATGGAACACTAGAATTAGGTTTTAAGATAGGTTTTTATACGTAAGCCTTCATAAGTGTAAGATCCTCTTTGTAGTGGTAGAAAAGCACTGAGAACTGCCATTACTGGCCAAGAATTAATATCAAACAATATAAAATATCTAACAAAAAGCAAAATCCATAAATGAAATACTACAACTCATCTAGAAACCTGTACAAATTGTAAAGAATATGCTTTCACTCAATGCAGACATCAACTTAATCCCATCTTTAATTTGACAGAGAATTTTAGGTAGAGAAGTAGGAAAGATGAATGCCAGGGTTAGAACCTGGTCTAATTGGCAACTTCAATTTTGAAAGTTGATTATTTATAATTAGAAAAACAAACCCAAAAACATCATCAACAAGCCACTTCACTGAACTATACTCTTTCTTTCAGCACACAAACAGCAATCACAAAAATATATGCCATTAAATTTCATTCTCCTCATCCCCCCAGACCCTTTAACATCTTCAACAAAACAACTCATTTACTGCTCCACATGACAGGATTCTATGAGGAAATTCACTCCACAGTGATAATCAGAGACATATCTTCAAGTGTAGAAAGTAATTCCTAGACACGTCTGAAGAACATTAATTTTAAAAAATGACAACTTACCTACAGTAATTCCTCATGTACAAGGAACAATGCATCATATACTGTGGCAAATTTGCTTATGATATTGATGCAGTTGAGAAGGTCAAAATGGAAGGCTAAGAACAAAATTAGAGAACATTTTCTCACCTGTAGCTGCTGTTGCAAATGGGTAATTTCAGCAATTCTCAGTTCTCTAGATTTATTTGTGCTTTCAATTTCTTGTCTTTGGGTAGACAGCCGACATCTGATATCCTGAAGCTTTCCCTCCAACTGATTTTTTTTATCATTCTTTAGGAAAAAAAAAAGAAAAAAGAAAAATAATCTCTCTCTTTTTGTTTTTACCATAAAGGTTTGTCATGCAAATCAGGATCTAAAAAGTACTTTTATTCCATACATAAAAGTTGAAATTATAGAAAATAAACACTGCCACATCACAGTCACTGCTGTGCTTGTGTGTTTTCTCTGCAGTACAATGACTTACTAGAGCTTCCAGCTCAAATTCTAAGGTCTTCTTCTTTGCCTTCAGAACAACTATGTCCTCTTGTTCTTTGTTTCTTTGATTTAGTAGTTCTTGCCGACGATTACGCTCCCACTCAAGTTGCCGTTGCCTCTCAAGTTCCCGTTTTGCAGCCTGCAGCATTAAAAAAAAAAAGATGAGAGATCTATTTTGACAAACTATTCTAATTGCTGATATTCATATTCTAATGTGCAATTAAAACATTAATAAAAATACACTGCTAATCTGTGGACTAAATATGTGCCTCTATTTAAGCACATGACTTGCTCAATTGTTTAAATGCTCACTTGTAAACACTAGTGAAATAGGTCTTCACTGTATAGAAGATAGATGACTAAACAGAATATCACTCCATTTTAATCAGTTTCCCAAGATCCAATTTTCTGATTTAACAAGTTGTTTCACATCAAGACTTCAAGAACTCTCCAGAATAGCATCAAATCTCTCTCTGATCTCCAATTAAGACATTCTGCAGCTTTGCAAAGAATAGTCATATGCTACTGCACTGAATGTATCATTAATTGACAATGTGAGAAAATAATAGTTTTTTAGGCTAACCAATATGTGTTTTCTTTAAATTAACTCATTACAGGAAAATCATGAATGTCACAAATGTCCGTAAGTTTTTCATCTTTTATCCTAGCATCTATTTAGATCAAAGAAAATAAGAATAATTATTGTTTTTAAAGAAGCCAGAGGTTACAAGCACATTGTCCTAGATCTAAATGTCTCACTATTCATTGCACATGAAAAATAGATAGCTGACTCTTTCCTTACCTTCAAAAACCCAGAAGTTTAAGTACATTGTTTAAATGTTTGCTTACTAAAAATGACGGCAAAATATTTAGTGTAAACATTAGGTTTTGTTCTAAACAAACACAGCTGCCAGTGACATAACCACCTTCCTTTTATCCAGTTGGTTACCTCTCTTCTCTCTATTTCTTTCCTTCTTTCCTCTTCTCTCTGCCGTTCCAATTCCCGTTGTTTTTCCAACTGTTTCTCTAGTTCCAGTTGCCTTTTACGTTCCTGCTCCTGCCGCTCCCGTTCTTTCCTTTCCTGCTCTGCCCGCTCCAGCTGTGCCAGACGCTCTTGTTCTTTGCGCTGCTGTTCCAGGAGAGCCTGCCTCCGTTTTTCAAGTTCTAGATTGCCACGTTCAAAGTTCTCACGTTTTTTATCTTCAAATGTAACTTTAACGTGTTGAAACATGGGGCAAAGGAGAATTAAACTTTACTACTGACTTTAAAAAAAAATAAATAAAAAATCCACGTATGCTGAATCAGTGTGAAACAACTTTCCAATAGTACTAGATGCAGCTCTCAACTACTAATAGTATAGCTCTACCAGTAATTCTAGGTTTTACCATTAGCATTTATATTGTAGATCCCCTTAAATACACATCCTTAGCAAACCTAAGTGTGAATTTCAGTTGCCATTCCTCAGGTTTCTAGGTTTCTCCACAAAGCCCAGCAAGTGGGTATAATTTAGACAATCCATTTGCCATCTAATCCTTTGAGTGGACATAGGATCTTGGAGTTCCTCTATATATTTGGTAACAGAAGCAGAACAGGAACCAACACCTCAATTACTACAAGTAAGACAAAGAATTCAGCTGATGATATTATTCAGAAGCCATTATGCAAATGACCAGAATGTATCTAAACTTCATATTCTCATAAGATTACTCATTACTGTCAGGAAAAAAATTGGCTTGCTGAAGCTCTTGAGCACCTTAACTGAGGAAGACAGGATTCCTGCAGGTTCACATCTTCATCACTTACTGTCTCAGAAGAATCATCTCAGTTCCAGCACACATTCCCTCACATTCTTCTGCAGTATCAGGGATTGTCCTTTCCCATTCCACATTCCTAGGTCTCTCCCTAACAGTTTCTCCAAATTATTCTGTTCACTTCACCTTCTGTTTCTTTTCATACTCCTATGTTTCATTCCCACTCCCCATACTCTGTATTTCTCTCCCCACATGCCCAACTCGTACATTTTTGCCATGCAAGACAAATCAAGAGAGAGCACATGTTTACTTCAAAGTGTGCATGCACCAACTGTTTGACACATTGGCCTGACACCTGCTGAGCCAGCTGAATTCTTTGTCTAAGTTTGGCCCCCTTTTCTGTTGCCACTTACCAAGTTTCATAAAACCTGAAAAAAATTTAACCACTTTGTTATCTGTTAAGTTTGTTTAAAATTTGCCACTGTTTTTAAGGAATATTAAGGTACAGGCTGATAGAGAATGTGATTATAACCAACACTGATCTAGGAAACCAACAAAAAGAGAAAAATATTTATGTCAAGAAAGTCAGTTAAAAGAAATAGGTAGAATGACAAAACATTTGCAAGTAGCATGGACATTAAGATACCATGTTTAAGGCTCAGAAAACACATAACACTGAGAAAAAACACCAAGTTCTAAGACAGCTGCCCAAGAAGCTAGTATGGTTACTCAGCAAAATCAAGGTAGCTACCAGAGGTAACAAAACAAAGCATATCCAAAATATGAAAATAGAAGATAACTTCTAGCAAATTAAGTAATTCTTGGCTTGTATTACTATGCTTAAGGGAAAGCTTCTATAAGGTTATAAAAGCCAACAATAACAACTCTTTCAAATGTCTCAAAATAAAAAAAACCCAACACCTAGCCAGAAGGCCAATGAAGCAGCAAGTTGACATTCACTATTATAAGTGATCTTTGTAACAAAAAAACTATATATCAAATACAGTAAAAAAACACATTCTAGTCTCTCTTGAATTGAAAACAGAAATGGCTTTTGAACAAAAATAAAAACAAAAAATGAAGAGTAACAGGTTGCCTAACGCAGGCAATGCTAATCCACAGTTTAAATGCAAAATTCATGAACTACTAGCTGTGCTGTGCAATCTAGCCTTTAATCAACATCAGTGCTGTAAGACTAGAAGATGACAAGTGCAACACCAGTCTTTAAGAAAAGACAGTATAATGATCCTGAAGGCTACAAACAAGTCAGTCTACTCCACACATGACTAAACATAGTACCGTGGAAGAGCCAACGCAGGAAGGATCTGCCTCTCAAGCCTAATAGACTCAATTGTACCAATAAGAAAGTTGAAAAATAAGATCAGGTCAACAGAAGAACACTTGCATGATTTTGAGGAAACTAAGCATTCCTAACCTTCTTGACACTACAAACTACATACCAAAATCCTCTGATTCCAGAGACACAAGACTTGGCCTCAAAGTGCCAATACAGGAAAGTCATATCTCACCTGTCTCCAAACATTTCCTGTGAGACCTCAGTGCAGTCTGCTTCAGCAGCGCCTGCTGCCTCCCTTCATCCTCCTACAGCCAGGACTTACCCAGCAGACTGCCAGCAGCAGTTAAGTATATAATACAAAGCAAAGACAAGAGCTATATTTGAATTGTTCACATACAGATCCCCTGAACTAAGCTGGTATGGAAAGAGACAGAAGGTCCTTGGGAACTACCAAACAGAGGGGTGACATAAATCACCAACTTTCACAATGACAGAAGGATTCTCAGTAGCGTCCTTCAATGATCTTTACTAGCAACTATGCTGTTCAGCATGCAGCAATGATCTGGAAGAGACTGAAAAGTAACAAGACAGCTTCTGGAGAGGATGCCAGATAGTCATGGTGTTAAAATGAAAATCTGACTGTGAAAAGCTTTAAAAGAATCCCACGGAAGAGTGATCTGGCAGTGAAGAAGCAGAGGAAATTCAAATGTTAATGAACATAGAGTAGCGTACAAGGGGAATAAAAATAATCCTTACTAAACACACACAGCTATGAATTCTAAAATGGTTAACAGATTTCTGGAAAGATACTGGCATTATTGTAGAAAGTCTCCTAAAACATTGATTCAGGTCTAGGCTGTGATCAAAGAAGCAATACAGTGTTTAGGAATAATAATAATAATAATAAATTAGAACAAACCAGAACAGCATTATTATGGCACTATATAAATTTGTCATATTGTTGCATCTTCAGCTGTGTGACATTTTGGTCATCTTAGAATAAAAGAGCAAAAGTAAAGAAAGTACAAAGAAGAGTGAGGAGATGATCAGAAGAATTAAGGTGTTTCCTAACAGCCTTTTAGCATCTAGGAGGCTTTCTCCATTTCCCCCCCCCCTTCTATATTTTTTTCTTCCTTTATTTTCTTAAAAGCAAAACTGCTAAAGCCTATGTAAAAAAGCATATTGTACACAGACTGCTATGAATCAGGCCCCTGTATGTATATTGTGATCTTTTAAAGAGTACATAAGCCAAAAAACACTCCATGTAAGTCAGAAGATGGAAGTAGTAAAAAGTTTTCATTGCAGTCCTATAATAGGGGTGCAAAGTGCTGCCTCTGTTGAGATAAGCAGCACGAAAGTTGTTTCTATCTCCACTGTCGCTAACGCAAAGGATCACGCAACAGTCAGGTATCAGCTGGACCAATGAATGTCTTGGTTATGCCTCTGACATGTCACAAACTGATCTGGAAAGCAAACATTTATTAATAAGTCTTTGTAACTCCACAGCGTTTAACCTGATGATAACACCTCTTTGATAGCAGCACATGATACATCTCTATTTTCACTTGCTCACCTGGTAACTTCTTTTCCAGTTGCTGTTGTTCTTCTTCTAATGCTGGTTCTTCTGGTAACCTTTGGTCTACAGATACTGAACTTGCAGCAGATATGCCACTACCAGAGCGCACTCTTCTGTCAATAAAACAGTAATTCCCAATTGCTTAGAAGAACCTATGCCTGCCAAATTCACTTATAATTTAATGACAAAATCATTAATTAAATGCAATGATGTCACATTTAATGATATGTAATGTTACCTCAATGTTGCCCAGACCATTTTACTCAGCTGTTGCCACTAAGGTAACAGTATCCTCCAGGGTACCAACAGCACACACTGGTGAACTGAGCAACCTACTTCAAAGTTCACAGCACCACACACCTTTTATAGATGTGTTCAACCCTGTCCCCAAGATCTCTTACTTGTGACCAGGGTGAATTTGGGGAAATGCCAACTTAAACTATAGCAAAGGTTGCAAAGATAGAGAAAGAGCTCACTATAGTCAAGCTGTCAACAAGACCCGACACAGAATAAACAAAAAAATTGTCAACTTCAGGAGCATACTTGAAGAACATGAAGCTATGGTCTTATGCAACAGTTCTTTTTGTTGCTGTTACTGTATTCCCACCCATTTCTCCACAAAAAGACAAACAGAGAAACTGAAGTACTGACTCAACACTACTATTCACAGATACAACCGTATCAAAAGATATCTGAATTTGCTACAGTTACATGTTTCAAATTCCATTACATCCCATTTGCTCTACAGAATTATAACCTTGAACTAAATCACTTTAAATTCATATGGCTAGATTGAGTAAGTTTTGGAAAATATGCTAGCATAAAACTTGACCAAAACTGTATTCTTACACAGAATTCTTGCAACTTCCAGCATCCAGTTCTTATAATAAAACCAAAAAGCTAGACAAGCATTTCCCAACAAGAAGACACTCTGTACCACAGATGCAGTACAAAAAGGAGGGGAGTTACTTCTCAATCTTTTGTCCCCTACACTTACAGGCCAGCTTTCCCAAATGAAATAAAAACGTAGCAGTGAGATTCCAGAATTATAACCAGTTACCTAAATGAAGGTGGAATATACTCTGGAGGCAGTACAGGTGGCAGCGGTTGACCAGACATAGCTACATCAATTAAGTGCATAGCCAGAATAAACTCTTCAGCTGTAAGCTTTCCATCTTGATCAATATCTGAAAGATTCCTTTTTAAAGGAAAGGTACAAAGTAAGTAAATATTAAAGATTAAAAATCACTGTTAAAAAGCATCGTTTTAGTGTAGTCAGTACCAAATTAATTCAATTTTTCACTGGCTTTATTCACATTACTTCGGTTTTTGCTTTTTATTTCTTTTAAAGAGAAAGCCATTTCACTATTTCCCACATTTCTCATGCATATCTGTCTTGAAACTATCCTTACAGTCATTGCTTATACTTCACTTGCTCTTTAAGTATTGCGGTACCCTGTGCTTTATAAGTAAGATTTATCAATGGAGTTTTCTTGAGCACTTTGTGAACATTCACGACCAAGTATCATTTAGAAAAGAAACAACTCAGATGCTTGGTAGAACTTTTTGGTTTGGTCTTCTTCCCTTTAGGTTCCTATCTCGCATACCAGAGCACACGTTTGCATTAAAATCTAAGCCATTAGCATTCTAGTTCTGATAAGTACAAAAATATTTTAGCATTATGCACATATTAGAAATCATGGAGTAACCTCTGGATAGCCTAAAACCAGTGCTCCAAGAGATGCACAAAATGCTTTCGTTCATATTAAGGTGGTACTGGACAAAATTTAACAGCCTAAACATCGATCTGTTTCTCTAGCATGCTGCACTCCAGTCATGCAGGAAAATCTCCCACAATACTGTGAACATCAAAGGTAAGCAACTGAAACATTCTTTTGATGTCACAAGGTACAGGACTTTGTTTATGAGATTTAAGTTTGGAAGACAACTACAGCCCCATTTGATCCATGCTTGTGTTCTTGAACTCCTCAGGCTGGGCCGAAAGAACAAGCCAGTAGAACAAAAACCTAGCATGCAGGGACATAATTGATCACTGTCCTAACAGTCTGGGCCTGCATTTTTGTTACAGAAAACACCAAAACAGCTGCCACAGAATAGCTGACACGCTGCACATCAGCACTTCACTTTGTGTCTCAGTCAGTGAATCCACCCACAATACAGACTGACAAATCTTGCCCCAGAGGACAGCAACACTGGTTCCACTGCCAGAGATTATCAGGAAAGGGAGCAATACTGAGGATCACAAAAGCTGTAAAATCCATTCCTTATCTCAGTAGACTTGGCAGTTTTGAATATGAAAAATTAAAAGAGTCATGTTTAGAACTCCTGGAGTACACTGACGTCATTCAGCTGCCCACACAACCTACTTAAGTGCTGGCAACATGCAGAGTATTTTTTGGCTAATCATCTGTTGGATGACTGGGTTGATATTTTTTTCCCTTATAGTAGCTTTGTTAGGAAACAGAGAAGGAGAGAGTGCTTCTTAAGATATAACAAAAATATCAGTGCTTAGCAAAGGAAGCAAGTGCAATAGAACCACCACATTAGAGTAATAACACAGTTGACTTCCTCACACAGAAGTCAGACAGGTGACTTGACAATGGTTTTCAAGGAAAGACTTATAAAGTATAGAAGTTAATTGGAAATAACTTGCACAGGACAACTGGAAAATAAAAATATACAGAAGGAACCTGAAGGCCATTTGAGAAGTCACCAAAGATAACCATAAATCAACAATAACCAAGTACTACCTAAGTAATTAAGTAGAAACGCTACAGAGTACATAGGAAAGCATAAACTTCCAAAGTATGAGGGAGGAGAGAAGATAATCCATGTGACAGTAAGACTATAATAAACTCCATCAAACATGAAGCTGAAAAGAAAAAGAGAAGCCAAGACAAATCCTGTTAAAATCCATTATTTTAAGTATGGTTCTGTATTAAGCTTCCTTTTGTACTACCTGAGCAAATATGTGTAAGTTTCACTGGTGCTGTATCACATGTGGCCAGCGATGTAGAAGATGTAGGAGGCTGAACGTCTGGTCTGCCCAAAACCTCCACAACTGAAACCCAACTTATGAAACATCTATGTGCATAGCGTAAAAGATACTAATTTTTACTTTTGTGGAGTAATATTAATATAAGCAGAGCAGAGCAAGTTTGGTTTATGGAGTTATACATTAAAAAGAGCAATGTATAATGATTTATCAGTAGAGGGAGAGTACACAGTACTCAGTACTCAGTACACAGAATAGAGGTTTAAGTAGTTTCCTGTTCGGTAGAAATTGATAAATTTATTTTTACCATATTGTAGCCAGCTGAGCCTGGGGTAAACTTGACTGCATAAGGATAGTTCTTGCTTGTGGACCTAACAAAGTGAAACAAGGATTAACAGTTAAGCAAGTTTCTCCTTTTCTTGCATTACCAAGCAGCTACTGCACAAGCAGAGCATAGTTCTGAACTGGTAACTCTGTAGAGATGTTACCTGCATGAACAGGCTATACATACTGCTATCCCTAGCCAGCCCTCCAAAGGAAAATATTGTAAAAATACATAACCCTTCCCCTTTCTTCACAACAATCATTCAGATTACAAAAAAAAAAAAAAGCAAGCTCTAGGAAAGGCAAAGATATGCTCTCAGTACTATTAAAACTAAGCCAGTGTACTATTCCAGTTTCTTTCTGAAACTGGATAGGCCACCTCATCAGTGGATGAGCTGAATACTGCAAATGACTGTAGAAGCTTTCACATAATTTGTTGTACCCCTTCCAAGAATCATTTCCCAGTGCCAAGTTACTTTGCAGAAAATAAAGGAAAGAAGGTGATAAAATGATCTGAGCTGCAATGAATATTTGCTTTTAAACAAGATTACTAAACAGCTGGGAGATTTTAAACAGAAAAATACTGATGACGACAACAGAGAAAGATGAATCTTTCTTACTATCTGAATAGCATTCTAAATGCTGTTATAATTAGCCTTTTACAGTTCACAAAAAGGAAACAACAAAAACTGCTTCAATACCTGTTAAGTGTCCACTCATTGTTTTATCGTGGCTATTGAACAGCTGCCTGTACTTCAGTCTCGATGACTGAGGCACAGCCCACTCTGCCACAGGAGGCGCACTAGAATTAGAAAAAGGATAAGGAGGGTGGGGGGTACATATAAATTTTAATTTAATCACATGAAGCTAACAGGTACAACAGGATTAAGTGCTGCACAGATTCAAAGTTCTACGCCTGAAATGGTTCGTTCCACAAATACTCCTTCTCTTCCTGAAACCACAACAGTTTTGACTTCATCTGAAAACATGTATCATACTTCAGTGTCTCAGAAGATGTTTGTTGGTAAAGTTGAATGACAGGCCTAAGAGTTTTGCTTTTTTCTTTACTAGCAGAGAATTAAGTAACCTAAACAGTTTAAAGGAGCTAAAAGCTTTTACCTAAACATGTAATAGGAAATGCCTTACCACAGACAGCAGAAGTGATATCTCACTTTACCCTGTCTTTAACTGGTTATCTTAGCCAAATAATTCATAAGTTGATTAAGGAAAACAAATGTAAAATATGCTGAAAACATAGAAAAAAGTGTTAAAAAGCTACACTCGAAAGCAATCAACCTTTCTGGTAATGGAACACAACTGACAAATGTTACATTCCCAGTTCTTATTCATCCACATAATAGGTTAAGTGCTGTTACTTGTAGCTATAATCTCCTGTGCATGAAGGCTCACAAGTCTTCATACAAAAAAAACATGGGCACAGTTTTTCTGTCTTTAGACACATTCAAACTTTGCCCATTTTTGTTAAAGTTGGGGAAAAAAAAAAGGCAGTCAGATTAAACAAGCATTTATAACAGCATACCAAATCACAGTACCAAAAATTAACAAAACCCACCAACTCTCTTTTCCCTGATCCACTGAGCATATAGCACAGTAAGATCATTCAAAGCTAAGCCAAGAAGGATCATATGAATAGAAGACTTGATATCATATTCTCACATGACAAGACCCAAAACAGCTAATACCACTATTTCATTTTATTCTTATTTCCAAACTATTGTGCTTTAATAATACTCTTTCACAGGAGCAAATAAAAAACAAGCTGCATCTTACATAATGAAAATAAGAAATGAAACTTTAAAAAACAAACAAACAAAAAAGCTGACTAAAGTTTTATCCATGTGAATTCCTCCCTCACCAGTTTTGCTATATTTAGAGTTTCCACAATCAATTATACTTCTGTCTTACATATAAATGTACCTTGATCTGTGAAGTAAGGTTATTGTACATTAAGTAATGAAACTCTCCTTCATGGATGCTCAAATGGTAGTTTTGGAAGAAAAAATGCCGGAGGACAAAAGAGTTGACTCATGTATGCCAAACACCATGTATACCCAGAGTTCACTACTGGTGACTCAGCAGACAGGGTGATAAAAGCATCACAAGTGGAATTTTGAACTTCATCCTTCTCAAAATTCAAAGTAACTCTCAGCCAGGGAAAAAAGAGGTCTTCAAAAGAACAGCCCCTTCAGTGCTGGCAGGCGTTTCAGAGGTACTGAAGTAACTACAACTGAGCTAAGGAAGCTCCAAGCCCAGCTCAAACAGATTCAGAGACCCATGCAATTTCACCTCAGAAAAGAAGTCATCACACCTGAGTTTCAGCCCTCTCTTGCCAATGAGTGACTACCAAGGTTCAGACACAGTTAACCCCAAAACTAAGACATCCCCCTTAGAGAAAATCTAGATGCCATTTCCAGCTGAAGTTTCTTAAACTTCATTCATTATAAATACGAAGTGCTGTTTTAGACAAAGCAGATAATGTCTTGTACTTCTGGAAATTATAACAGAGCATCACTACTATGTTACTGACAATACTAGATTTCAAAGCAAAGAAGAATTGTTTGTTTTGAAAGATTTTTAATCCTATTTGCCAATAACCAGTAGTGTCGCTTATCTAATACCAGGGCACATGAAAAACCGGAAGAAGGAAAAAGAAAATAAAAATAAGTAATTAAATAGTGTCTCAACCTTGCAAAAAAGTCTGTAGTATAGACCTGTGGAAAGGTTTGATTTATAAAGACTTTGGGAAATTGCCGTCCTACCTCCTCTAAGGAAGTTTCATTTTGTTAGATATATTTCTTCAAACAATAGTAAAATACATTTTGACTAACCATATAATTTCCTTAGGCCTTGAAATAATTTCCAAGTCTTTTAGGCTTCACGCAGAACTTGAAGACTATATAAGAAACAGTTATATGAGGTGCATTTAAAATATGAAAACTATTAAATATTTTGCTTTAAAAATAATCTTAAAGCTGTTAATTTTAAAGAATATTACTTGTGTTTACACACTAACAGGAGGAATACCTGTGCAGTATTACGCAGTGCAGATTATGTCTACAGAAGCAAATGCTTTTCTAAAAGCTAAGTTTTCAAAAGTTTGAAAATAGCATCAACACATACTGTAATAGTTAATTATTGTATTTCAATGATTCACTACTCGTGGAGCATTCCTTCCAAAACCACAGCATCCTATGAAATGCTGAAGTAGTATCT